GTACTTTTATAGTAAGTCTAAAGTAATTATTGGATTCTAATTAACTATATTCAGTTTATTTGTTTGTAAATAGTTGTATTGTTATTTGATCTGTATTTAATGCGTGCATTTAAGTTATATTTTTCATGTTTTTGCAGGTTGTTTTAGTTTCTTTTCCCCTGGAAATGGTTTCTCCCAATTTTGAGCCACCTGTATAAAATCCAATATTATGAAATGTTTGGTGATATTACAAGATTGAGGATTGGACATGCCGGATTAAATAAAACATTACATTTGATGGGGAAACATCCAACAGGTAGTTGTGAGTGTGGTAGGGATATGGAAACAGTAGAACATGTAATAATTCATTGTGAAAAGTGTGCATCAAGTAGAGAGAAGCTAAAAAGAGAAATTATGAAATATGATATAGAGACATTAAAATTAAATAAGATATTAAATAAACATAAAATAAATAAAGCAGTTATTATTTTTTTGAAGGAAACAGGACTATTTATGAGAATTTAGATTAAAGGGAGATACTCTGGTCCACACTCCAGCATAGTAGATGGCGATAATACATCTTAACGTTAGATGTCACCCGCCAATAAAAACAGAAGAAGAAGAAGTTTGGTGATATTCTTTTGTGGGCTGGTGCCACCATTAAAAAACAACTTCCACTGAGTTCAATCTAAGTTTTCATCATTGTTCCCGTGTGGGTCCCACCTCCATGACCGCTSGACCACCATGACAAACATGTGACARAGCCTCTTTTAGGTGTGTACATACTGTGATGCTAACAAATTGATCAAATCTATAACTTTTATTAGTCATTCAGTCAAAAAATAGTTGCGTAAGTTGTCTAAAACGGTGTAGTGTGACAGCAGGGCCTCTTAGCTGRCTAAAGCTCTTAAAACTCAACCCGGGTCAAAGAAACGATCAGCCTCAGACCAACGTGTGGACGCAGCTTCACAGCCAGAGGCTTTCCTCGCTGTAATTAACCTCCTTAATGATGTTTTAAAGGTCAGACTGAACCCTGAGAGTTAAATTACTCACTCTGTTGTGAAATATTTGTCAAGACTCAACCCCCCGTGTTTATTGGTCAAGCTTGGTTACTTAAAAAAGGCTGAGACTGTAAACAGTTACTGTCATGATTTAAAACTTGGTGCAGAAGTGTAACTATTTGTCCTTCCCGACAGGTGTGTCACATCAGGTGTATCAGGACAAAGCAGCTGTTTTGAACAGTAGCAACAATATAGCACGATTATGATTTTTTTTATTATTTTCCCTGCACACTAACAAAGNTGCTAATTCTGCTAATTCTGCTAACGCTTTTAACGCTGCTAATTCTGCTAATGCTTCCCTACAAGACAAGACTTGAAGTTGTGTCCGGTGTCCGAGCTGCACTTCGAACTACTGAAACCACATGTACCAGTCACATTGTTTTCAATGAACACATTTTGAATTTAAAATTTAAATGTCATCTTCAGCAGTGTTACCAGCGTTACCAGTGTTATCAGCGTTAGCAGAGTTAGCGGCTCCTTATGTTGAAGGATGAAACGGTTTCGTTCCATTCTGAAATACTTTACCATAACGTTTAAGATTTAACTTTTACATTTAGATGTACACATTCAAACATAACAGTTAAGATTTAGTAAATATTAGCAAAATATATGAGCAGTGAGCTAATACAAGAAAATGCTGGTGGTAACTTTTCATCTAGGCAAAGTTGTAAAGTAACAAAGAACAAATACTTTGTTAATGTACTTAAGTAGAAATTTTGGCTATCTGTTCTTTACTTGAGTATTTATTTTTCAGTCTACTTTTTACTTCTAATTCTTACATTTTTACACAATTATCTTTGAATGAGAAGGTGTGTCCAAACTTTTGGTCTGTACTGTATACATATATG